AAGGTTGGGAGCCATTTGCCTTGTCTTGTTTGTTCCACTTCTGGTGGTTATGAGATGCTTGGGTATTTCTTGGGCCCAAGCGGTGGCTATTACTATTTTGGACTTGACCATTACGGGTACCCCTACCACGACCACGTCCTCGACGACGGTCGCCATGTGATGAGGTAGCATATGCCTCATGAGATGGTGCCAAGGCAGCATTCACTTCATGGAATGGTGCAGATCCAGTTGGACGGGACTGATGGTTCTGCATCAGAAGCTCATTATTCTGTTCAGCTAGAAGTAGACAAGATATGAGGTCTGAATACTTCTGGAAACCTCGTTCTCGATATTGTTGTTGCAAAACCACATTGGAGGCATGAAATGTGGTGAAAGTTTTCTCCAATAGGTCTGCATCAGTTATATTTTCTCCACAAAGTCGTAACTTAGAGCTAATTCTGAACAGAGCAGAATTATAGTCAGCCACTGATTTGAAATCTTGTAGACGCAAGTGCATCCAATCATGGCGAGCCTTAGGAAGAATAATTGTCCTCTGATGGTCATATCTTTCCTTGAGATTTCCCCAAAGGGCCAACGGATCCTTGACAATAAGGTATTCACACTTCAAGCCTTCATGTATGTGGCGTCTGAGAAAAATCATGGCTTTCGCTCGATCCACAGAGGATGCCTCATTGCCTTCCTTAATGGTTTCCCCTAGGTTCATAGCCTCAAGATGAACCTCAGCATCATTGATCCATGAAAGGTAGTTCTTTCCGGAGATGTCAAGTGCAACAAATTCGAGCTTTGCCAAGTTCGACATTTTCTATATAAAAGAAAATGGAATGTATTAGAGCTCAAGAAAAATTGTTGATATAGTAAACATAAATATAATCACCAAAACTTCTGGTTTGGGATGTTTAGACAATTTAGATTGAGGAACTTTATGCCTTCAATTATTTTGAATCACAGAAACTTAGGTTCTGATTTGATAAAGGAACTTCATGTCCTTATCCATTATGAGGATCGAGGAACTTCAGGTCCTGATCTCTTGTTAATAAAAAAACTCATCATAATATATTGTGTTTAAATAAGATAAATTAAAAACTTAAAAGGAGAACAGAAAGAAAGAATAATAATAATAATAATAATGATAATTGCATACTACTCGTGTTATTAGCTACAACATGCATGTCAACAAGTTTTCAATGAATAGTGGTCATATAACAATAACAACAACAACAACAAAAACTACATGTTCATGCATTCATTGGGGGATACTCTCGGCAATTTAAATCATGTCAAAAACATGATTTCACAAAAAAAATAGCCATCATCGAGTTTTGTATATAAAAGAAAAAATATATATATATATATGGATTAACTAAGCTATAGAGAAGAACATTACCAAGAGCTTTCGTGCTGATAACGTGTTATGAAACTAGAGAATATGTAGGGAGAAATAAGAGGAAGAAAGAGACAGTATAATTTGCTCAAATCAACTTGTCTTTCATTCATATTTGGTGCCACTATTTATAGGAGCAGAGATACCTGAATCACCTACCACCCATAATTGATAGGTTACAAATACATTGGTTGGTAGAGTACAAATACATTGGTTGGTAGAGTACAAATACATTGGTTGGTAGAGTACAAATACATTGGTTGGTAGAGTACAAATACATTGGTTGGTAGAGTACAAATACATTGGTTGGTAGAGTACAAATACATTGGTTGGTAGAGTACAAATACATTGGTTGGTAGAGTACAAATACATTGGTTGGTAGAGTACAAATACATTGGTTGGTAGAGTACAAATACATTGGTTGGTAGAGTACAAATACATTGGTTGGTAGAGTACAAATACATTGGTTGGTAGAGTACAAATACATTGGTTGGTAGAGTACAAATACATTGGTTGGTAGAGTACAAATACATTGGTTGGTAGAGTACAAATACATTGGTTGGTAGAGTACAAATACATTGGTTGGTAGAGTACAAATACATTGGTTGGTAGAGTACAAATACATTGGTTGGTAGAGTACAAATACATTGGTTGGTAGAGTACAAATACATTGGTTGGTAGAGTACAAATACATTGGTAGGTTACATGTATATAATGATGGATATTATTGTGGGCATCCATAACCTATAAACCCATAACGTATGGATTTATAACAGACAATGAGTTTATAGGATTTTATCTTGTATTTTTCTGATTTTTAATTTATTTATTGTGGATTTTAGAAGTTAAATAATAGGGAAATAATATGAAATAGGTGAGATTGACATGTGTCAACTTCTTAAGGCATCTCCATCAGCTTTCAGAGCCCTATCAGATTATGACACGTGCCCCAGTCTTGTTATTTTTTGTTTTTATCTTAAACAATGCATAACAAATTAAATAAAAATCACAAAAAATACACTGAAAATTGCTACAAAGAAACAATAGTGTATTGGACAGAATGTTTTGATTTGTCTATAAAGAAAGTTAAGTTTTTATTATTGCTTTGTATTTTTATAATTTATAATTATATTTTTGGAGCTTTAAAGAGAAGAGAATATCACAAGGAGTTTATAGGAATTATCCATGTATTTTTGGGATTATTTATTTACTTATGATGTCATTTCGTGTAATTTATTGTGTTATAGAAGTAAACAATTCCTAAGAAATTAAATTAAAATCAGAAAAATACACCAAAAATTGCTACATGCTCCTTACAACATAGCCTTTAATTATGGAGATCTAAATTTATGATTCCAAATATTTGAGTTAATGGTAATCAATGGATTAAAGAAACAAGATTATAGGGTGGTATAATGTTTTGATTTGTCTATGAATAAAATTGGGTTTTTGTTATTACTTTTTATTTTTATGATTCAAAATTAGATTTTGGGAGTTGAAAGGTGAATAAAATGTTACAAGGAATTCCTAGGAATTTTGGTGTATTTTTCTAATTTTCAATTTATTTATTATGAATTTTAGAAGTTAAATTGTTGGGAAATAATAAGAAATATAAACTATTTGACATGTGTTAGCTTTTTAAAGGCTTTCTGTCAGTATTTATGACATGTGGCCGTATAATATGGTGACATGTGTCCTTTTCTTGTTATTTATTATTTTTATCTTAAACAATTCATAAAAATGAAATTTTTAAAAAATTGTTATTTATTATTTTTATCTTAAAGAATTCATAAAATTATTTTCGCGTGAGCGCCTTTTTTTTCACAAAATTTTCATTTCGCGGTTTTATTCCTTCGAAATTGCTCTCTCTCTCTCTCTCTCTCGTCCCTAACCAAACCACAAACCCTCTCTCTCTCTTTCGCCCTCTCTGACCCCAAATTCTCTCCCTCCCTCTCCAACCCAAACCCTCCATCGTTGAAAACCTAAGGCCCTCTATCACTGTGTCTCCTTCTGCGTGTCTCTCTCACCATCTCCGTCTCCCTCTCACGGTCTCACCAGTCACCACCACCGCCTCCCTCTCGCATCCGCTGTCTGTATCAAGGTATCATCTCCCTTTTTCCTTTATGTTTCAATTTTATTAATGCGTTTGTGATTTTGTTTTGCTGTTTCAATTTCTATATTTATTTGTGGTATTGGATTTTTATTTTTGATTTCAGATTTGATTGGAGGTGTTGAAATTGAATTGTGGTGTTGGATTTGTGATTTTGTAAGTGTATTGCTGTTAGATTCGTTCCTTTGGAAGAGCCTCTGAAGTAAGATTATTACAAAAAGGGATTGACAGATTGACAGACCCAATACAAGATTTCTGGTTTTGTTTATGTTAATTCATGTTTTTGAATATGCATACTACAGGGGAACATCGGTTGATGAGTATATGAGGCATTGTGGGTCTTTAAAACCTTAAAGACATATTTTAGGAAATAAAAACTCAATGGCTCTAAACGAATGCCCACTTGGAAATTCTTTACCTCCAAAGACAATAATTTACTTAAAAGATGGTGAGCATGATTGGTGACTAACAAATTAGGCCTAATATGATAGTTAAAGATGGTTTATGCTTGAAAAGGACTCTGTTTTTATGTCTTTTGACTTTCTGATTTTCTGCTTTCTGTTTATCAGTTGTGGTAGCTTGGTTTGTTTTTTTTCCCCTTCTCTGTTGGCTTGGGTTGCTCTTCTGTTTACATGGGGCTGTTTGGGGCAATTGGGTTGTATCTGTTTCATAATTTTTTTCTCAAATTTAACTTCTTCTCTTACTGTTGTTCATCCTCAAACTTAGAGAAAGAAAAGAATTGGTTGGTTGGTTGTATTGAGTTTCATTGATTCGGGGGCTTTAAATATATGAGCTACTGTTAGTTTTTAAGAACTAGAGTTGCCGTATTGATAAGTTTTTAACACTTGTGGTTTTATAAATTTGGTACTAAATTTGATTTTTCTATCATATGTGCTTCTGGTTTTTTTAAGAATACATGTTTCTGTTTTTTTTATTACAAGAATATATGTTTCTGTTTTGTTTGCTTTCAAAAATGTGCTTTTAGTTTTATGCAAGTGGACTAAACTTGGTTACCAGGATAGTTTTATGCAAGATGATGCATATATTATTTATAACAGAATTTGTGGGAAAATGATTAAACTTAATTCCCAACCAATTATATATCAGACAAATTAATGGATAGTTTCTCGTCTTTGTGATGGTTGGTTTGCTTGCTAGCTAGCAACAGTAGCTCTGAAATTTCTCCTAATAACAATCAAAAGAAAATGATAGCTCCAAAATGTTTTCCCTAGCGTGAAAATGTCATCCTCTCCACTTTTGTGAAAATTTGAGTATATTCTTATGACCAGATTGAATTCATAACTCCAATTCTCCGAATATTTTATTCAACATACAACTAGCACTACCAAATTCTACTAAACTTATTGTGATGTTAATGAACCTCTCATGAATTTCATTCTGTTGCATAATTTGAAACTGAAGAGATGATATATAAGAGAAGTTTGCATAATTGAATAAGAGATTGCACAAACTGTCAAAGATATGATCAATGAAACAGACAAGGGAGGAATTCCGACAAAGCAATTGATCGGTTTTAGATCAGATCAATGCCAATGTTTACACGTCTGATTGAGAATTCTTGTTGGCTTATTCCATCCTGCACACAAAAGAATAAAGCAGTTTAAATAGTCACATAACTTGTGTCAATAAAAACCAGGTAGGTCTAATGCGCCTGTAGATTTTGAAGTGAAAATTTCATGTGAACCTGGCCAATAAGCACGCAAATACTTTCGATCATTTCGAGTTGCACATTAGCAGTGTGCCCAGTATCGGCCGTGACATCAAGAACCCAAATTTCAGTTGACTACAGGACACAATTGGCTGGCTTCAACAACACTAGTCTTGTTAGTATGTACTTGAATGCAGAAACAAAAAAAAGTTACAGTATGTCCTGTTTATTTGCATCATATTAAATCTTGCATGTACATACTTTTGCAACGGAAAAAAAAAGTAGCAAGATAAATTTTCCTCCTCTCCTACCTAATATCATTGAAACTTATTGGAAGACATATCATTGGAACAAACAAAACAAACAACCAGACTCTATCTTAAGATAAATGAGATTATGGAAGACATTAACTTGATTGCTGAAAGTAACTACATAATGATTTGCAGTATGTTAACAGATACTTTGCTCAAATGCTATATAATATGCAGCAACATGAGTTAATTAACCTGATTAATTAATGCTATGCAGTGGTTAACAAAGAAATGTTCTTTCTCAGATGCATAGAAGCTCATGTTATCAACCAAGATGACAAATGTATATGAGAGAGAGAGAGAGAGAGAGAGAGAGAGCAGAGGAATTATAATCGAAGATATGAATCAAATGATAAAAGTATGGCTAGAAAAGAAAATGCAGGGAGACAGATGGTGGTGACTTACTAATAATATCAATTGTGAGAGCACCGCTATTGGCCTTTCAAGCATTGAGGTGCAGATATTTGAGGAGGAGGAGTTTTTAACGAAGTTAGCAAAAATTTAGCTCCTCTTTTCAACAATAGTGAAAAATAAGAGGGGGCAAGGCCTAAGTATCAAATCAAAGTGGTTACCCTCCAACTCAAAAGTCCCCTGCTGTAGTTGAAAATTTTCATAAAAAGTGCAGTTACTAAGAAGAGGGAGAGAATCTTTACAAGTTGAGAGAAATTCAGATTTGCTCCTAAAACAAAACAAGGAATAGAGCCAAATATAAAAACAGTGGGAGAACCAAATGAAGGAGCAATAGGTGAAAAACAAAACTTAAAGCAACATAAGGCCAAAAGAATGAAGCACAAGCAGTGGAACAGGCAATAGTACCTCGACAATCCAAAAAAAATGAAAAGTAGAATCAGCAAAAGCAGCAACTCACATTGAATTGAAATGCAGCAGCTGTGATGCCTCTTGCTTTGAAATTGAGGAATCATAGGTCAGTCCCAAACACATCGATCTTTTTTCTTTTTCTGGGCCGAGCTTCGTCAACAAAATCATCATCATCATTTAATTCATCTTGGTCTACCTCTTCGGAAAGAGCATAGGTATTGCAGAAGAGAGATTTTTGGTGAGAGCTACCACTTCCACTAGGACTAGCCTCCTCGTCATCGTGGTGTTGTTGACCTTGTGCGTCAGCTGATTTGGTAGGAGAAGTAGTAGTGCTCTTGATGATGGATTTGTTCATCATCATCTGGATATAATACGCAGCGACATGAGTTAATCAATGCTCTGCAGTAGTTAACAAAGAAATGTTCCTTCTCAGATGCATATAATATCTAGCTCATGTTATCGACCAATATGACAGAGAGAGACAGAGATGGGAGGAATTATCATCAAAGAAACAATAAGTGATGAATCTAATGATAAATGTACCGCCAGAAAACCTTTTTTGTAAGACAGATGGAGGTAACTTACTACTATCAATTGTGAGAAGAGCGTTTTTGGCCTTTCAAGTATTTATGTGCAGACATTTGAGGAGGAGGAGTTTTTAACAAAGCTAGCAAAAATTTAGCTCCTCTTTTAAGAATGACAGTTTTTATTAAACCTTGCAATAATAACTCAAAATATGAGGGTGCAAGGCCTAAGTAAAAAATCAAAGTGGTTACTCTCCAAATCAAAAGTCCCATGCACCCCCATTTTTTGGTATTGTTGAAAGATTTCATAAAAACTGCAGTTGTTAAAAAGAGGGAGAAAATCTTTACAAGTTTTGTTAAAAACCCTTTGGAAAGAGCATAGGTATTGCAGAAGAGAGATTTTTGGTGAGAGCTACCACTTCCCCTAGGACTAGCCTCCTCGTCATCGTGGTGTTGTTGACCTTGTGCGTCAGCTGATTTGGTAGGACAAGTAGTAGTGCTCTTGATGATGGATTTGTTCATCATCATCTGGATATAATACGCAGCGACATGAGTTAATCAATGCTCTGCAGTAGTTAACAAAGAAATGTTCCTTCTCAGATGCATATAATATCTAGCTCATGTTATCGACCAATATGACAGAGAGAGACAGATGAGAGGAATTATCATCAAAGAAACAATAAGTGATGAATCTAATGATAAATGTACCGCCAGAAAACCTTTTTTGTAAGACAGATGGAGGTAACTTACTACTATCAATTGTGAGAAGAGCGTTTTTGGCCTTTCAAGTATTTATGTGCAGACATTTGAGGAGGAGGAGTTTTTAACAAAGCTAGCAAAAATTTAGCTCCTCTTTTAAGAATGACAGTTTTTATTAAACCTTGCAATAATAACTCAAAATATGAGGGTGCAAGGCCTAAGTAAAAAATCAAAGTGGTTACTCTCCAAATCAAAAGTCCCATGCACCCCCATTTTTTGGTATTGTTGAAAGATTTCATAAAAACTGCAGTTGTTAAAAAGAGGGAGAAAATCTTTACAAGTTTTGTTAAAAACCCTTTGGAAAGAGCATAGGTATTGCAGAAGAGAGATTTTTGGTGAGAGCTACCACTTCCACTGGGACCAGCGTCCTCGTCATCGTGGCGTTGTTGACCTTGTGCATCAGCTGATTTGGTAGGACAAGTAGTAGTGCTCTTGATGATGGATTTCTTCATCATCATCTGGTTGAGTTGTTCCACATCTTGCTCGTGTACCAAACGAAACCCACACTTCTTCACACTCGCACAAGATTTTTCCTGGCCTTGAGAACAATAATAAGTTGTGAACAAAAGCTTTATCTCACCGCATATCTTCTGAAATTGTTTACGAGATACACAAATTACCCAAAGGTGATCTGACACAACATCGCCTATTTTAAAAATGTTTGAAAATAATTCAGGTCGCAGTGGGGAACAGCTAATTATAAAACGTTGAAATTCGGAATGATGAGCCGGAACTTCAAACACAGCACATAAAGCAATTCCGATCCACGTGGTACATGAATCCAAAGGTAGCTCCACAGTTAGGGAATCTCCCAAACTTTGATTACTGAACCACTCTGGAATTTTCCTTCCAGGAGTTGAAATTTCAAATGGAAACTGAGGGATTACCTGTACCATATACATAGATATATATGAGGTAAGTTGTAATTATTATTATAGCAAACAACAAAAGAGAGAGAGAGAGAGAGAGAGAGAGAGAGAGAGAGAGAGAGAGAGAGAACCTGAAGGTATCGCTGTAGCATTTTCAGTATTATACTATCGCAGCCTTCATTGTCAACCAATACAAAGCAATTGGCACAATTAAACCTAGGAAAATGCATTACTCTGTTTATATCCACTAATGACGAAAGATGTGGTAACATTTTTAAGGAAGTACAGCCGGCTATGCGTATATCCACTAACCGGATAAGCTTAGAAAGATCTGGCAATTGTTCAAGACTTAGGCACCTCTTCACTTTAAGTACTTGAAGCTTAGAAAGACATCCAATGCTTGCAGGAAGGCTAACAAAATTGTTTCCACTAAGCATTAATTGTTCTAAAGAGGGCAAGCAGCCAATATCACTGGGAAGATCCCCTTCACAAAGTCCACAATTACTCAGATTCAAATAGTACAAAGACAATAAACCATCTAACGAACTTAACACAAAACCATTTCTGTTTTGATATAAACCAGAAAGGCCCCACCAAAACCTTGATTTCTTAGGCTGTGATCCATTTCCACGTAAGGATAGCTTGAAAAGATTTTTCAAACCAACAACAGAACGTGGCAGCTGTCTCATAGAAGTTCCTTTCAATTCAAGAAATTCAAGAGACTCCATCTCCCCCAACTTCTCTGGGAGTTTGTCAATTTTTGAGCACAAATCAAGATTCAAGTATATAAGACATTTGAGATCTACAATTGACGAGTGAATCTCAACCAAATTCGTACAACTTTCCAAATACAACTCCTCAAGATTCGGAATGCCACTGAAATCCGGGGTTGTGGTCAAGTTTTCAGAGCAAAAAAGGTCCATTTTTTTCAAGTTGGGCAAGTCCTGTACAATTCATAAACAACGGTAGAATAGATAATTAGCTCAGATTTATTTTAATTTTTAAAACAAAATATTTAAAATAATTATAAAAAAACTAATTTCTAGAATGGCATATGGTCACTACTCTTACCATTCTTCCATCCCAAAGCCGAACAAGTTTGTTCTTAGGCATCTCAAGTTCAATAAGGAAATTCGGTTGAAAACCTGATGGCAGAAACTTGGAAGGATACGAACTCCATTTGATACTTCTCAAGGAATTAGGAAGAATTCTTGGGCTTGAAGAAATGATCACATTGTTAAATTCAAGAACTTTCAGGTTACGCATCTTAGAGAAGGCTTCACAATTCCAATCCGCCTTTTCAAGTGTGGCCATGCGTAATCTGATGCCTTTAATTTTGTCCGTTGCCTATAATTAAGAATAGTAAAAGAAAAGTTAATTCCACATTTAAGTCTAATAATGTGTTAAAGAGAAATCATATATCTTCCAAAACTATCTTTATATAACTTCTTATCATATTGTTTATGAATATATCAAAGATATCATTAATTAAGTTTAATAGTGTGTTAAAAGACAAAACATAAATCTTCCAAGACTCAGTATCTTTTATAAAACTTCTTACCGTATTGTTTATGAATACACGAGAGATATCATCATGATTGCACAACCGACTTCGTCTACCAGGCTCATCAGGACACTCTCGACGAACAATTTCCAATGCCATTTCTTGTATCAAATCATGCATCTCAACATTCCTATTTGATATAGTTAAGAGTGATTTCTGAACGAGATCATTTATCCCAACACAACCACATAGGCCACAACTGGCTAGTATTTTAATTACTTCCTCCTTTTCCTTCCCCGTATGGAAAAATGCAACATCAAGAAGTATATCCTTGTTCATCTCATCTAGTCCATCATAACTTATTTTGAGCAAATCAATAATTTCTGACTTAGGAATTTTCCCCAGCTTATCCAATTCACTTTTCCATTGATCTTGATCTCTCTTGTACACTAAGCATCCCAAAAGTTTAAGAGCTAGTGGAAGGCCTCTTTACTTCCTCCTTGCCCTTCCACTTATGAAAAAATGCAACATCAAGAAATATCTCCTTATTCATCTCATCCAGTCCATCATAACTTATTTTGAGCAAATCTAAAATTCTGGAGTTAGGAATTTTCTGCAGCTTATCCAATTCACTTTTCCATTCATCTTGATCTTTCTTATTATACACTAAGCATCCCAAAAGTTTAAGAGCTAGTGGAAGTCCTCTGGCATACTTTACAAAACCCTTCGACAATTCCAAATAACCTTCTGCTGGCTCATTTTTTTTAAAGGCGTTCCGACTAAAGAGCTCAAGAGCATCATCATCACCTAACGCCTCCACCTTATGTGATATATGCATATCATGTTGATCTAGCAACCGTTTATCTCTAGTTGTAATAATGATTATACTCCCCTTACCAAACCAATCCTTTTCACCAGCCAACTTTTCAAGTTGGCTTGATTCACTCACATCATCAAGAATGAGAAGAACCTTTTTATTATACAAGCAATTCTTAATGACAGAGGTTCCCC